ATAAGAGCATCCATTTATAGTACAAGTTCCTCGTTCGTTTTTACTTGCACCCTTGCTGGCTACTTTTCTGTCTGTACTGCTTGCCCTTGCACTTCCCATTGAAACCCAGCATCCCAACTAACCCTTGCCAGCCTGTCCCACTTCCACCCGCATGCTCTACCCCGTAGTCTCCCTTAGCCCTCCCTATTCCTGTCCGCAAAGCCGTACTAGCGCGAAGTCACCCCAAGCCCGGCCTAATTCCTACCCCAAAGCCCTCACTACTACCTTGACTACCTTCCCACTGCATTCATCCTCTAAACGACTGCCGTTCCGACCTGCTGCAGGGCCAGGACTTCCTTTTTTCCTTACACGCTCAATCCACATTGCCGAACAAATGCGTCGGCACAGCTCAGGCGCTTCGGGGTTTGCATTCCGACGACAGAGACGTGCCCTCACCCGCGCCACGCCCGCAGCCACAGACTCCTGGCGGCCTCCCCGCAAAGCAAACCATGACCGCGCTCTCCGCGAGCGCCGGCGTCCTGGCCGCGCCACCAGGCGCCCCGGGACAGCCCTGTCGCCCCTCTGTTCGCCCCAGACGACCCACCAACGGCTCCAAATCCATCCATTGCCTCCCGCCGGGATCGAACCATGGGAGTGGTCCGAACGATCGCGCCGCTCGCGGTCGGGGGGAATCAGTCGGAGGATCCGACTGGCGCGCCATCATTGATTTGCAGCAGCGGCTTTTTGATCGCGAGGCCAGGCGCTGGGATGCGGAGCGGGTGCGATTGGAGGGCAGAGTGTCCGCGGCTGATGCCGAGCGAGCGGAATGGATGGAGCGTGAGATGGCGAGGTGGGAGGAGGAGAGGCGGGGGTGGGAGGAGAGGGAGGGGAGGCTGGAGGCAAGGGTGCGGGAGCTGCAGGAGTTGGTTGTCAGGCTCGGGGTGGGATTCGTTACAAATCAGGGAGAAAATGCCGTTCAAGGAGAGCAGATGGGATTTGGTACAAATCAGGGAGAAAATGCCGCGCAAGGGGTTGAGGACGAGAGGAGGGGTGGTGCTAGGAAGGGTGGCAAGGGGGTGGGGGAGGTGGAGGTGGGCTTAGGGTCGGCGGTTGGTGTGCAGGGGGCGTCATCTGATGCCCACAGCGGGAGCAGTGTCGATGAGGTGGCCTCTGCAGCTGGGGAGAGGGCGGGAGCCGTTGGCGGATCGGAGGAAGTGCCCGTGGGTGGGTCGATCCATGCCAGCCTGGCTGCCGCGATGGCGGCCGTGGATGACGGGGACGTTTTGAGCGGGGACTTCTTTTTGGCACAGTCTGGATCGGGGGCCAGGGCGTCTGCCTCAGGCAATGGGACTGAAGGGGGACTGCCAGAGGAGGCTGGGAGTGGGGTTGTGGCCAAGTCACCTGATCTTGTGGCGGATGGGCAGGAAGGGGGCCCGCTCGAGACAGTGAAGAGCCCACCGGATGGTCCCCCACCTTGCCTGACGATTGGGGACGATGACATATTTTGGGTGGCGCAGCTGCACCAGGGGTTGATGCGCGGGGGCTACTTTCCTGGTGATGACGACCTGGGCGACTTCTACTTCGGGGAGGACACCCTGGCGGCCCTGCTGACCTATCAGGCTTGCGAAGGCCTCGAGGAAACAGGAGTAGTGGATGAGCCGACATGGAGGAAGATGCTGGGGGAGGGGATGAAACCCTTGGTGGGATCCGTCCCTGAGGGGAACGTCCCTCCTGCTGAAAGCACAGCAGGCATGCAGCCTGTGGAGTCGGTGGAAATGGAAAAGGTTGGAGAGGGACATGATTCCGGTTCACAAAACGGCACATCAGATGCAAAGGACAATGTGATGGCAGGGGCATCCGAGGGAGTGGGACGCTGGCCCATGGTGCGTGAGGACGATGGGGGACGGCTAGTCCACAGCCTGCACGTGGCGCTGCAGAAGCGTGGGTATGCATGTGCAGACGACGATGTGCGGTGGTGGCAGTACGGACCTACCACTGCAAACAGCGTGCGGACATTCCAGGCGTGCAGTGGGCTGCCAGAGAGTGGGGTGTGCGATGCTCAGACCTGGGTGGCACTGCTTGGAGAGGCGGCTGGGCCAGAAGATCTTGAGCATATGATGGCTGGGGACTCCTGGTCAGAGACCTATCCAAGAAGCAAAAGTGTATGATTAGAGAGCAAGATAAAGGCAGCAAATGCGCGAGGCTCCCTCAGAGATTGAAGCCAGAAGAACACTGGATAGAATCGGTGTTGGAGAAGAACACTGGATAGAATCGGTGTTGCATAATGGTGGCATGATGCCTCGATGAGAATCTCCTCATCTGACCTGCATGTCTCCATCTTCTCAACACCTTCCCAAAGCAGTATAATATGGCCCCAACTGCCTGCCATATGTCAAATGGCTGGCACTCTAAGATAACTAAACGGCACTGACAAAGGCAGTTCTGCAAGAGTGCCCAGAAGGAGTGCAGTAGGCTTCTGCACTCAACAATACACTGTTTCTACTAGGGTTGTGGAGTCAAGCTAAGTTTTGCTGGTGAAGAATGCGTTTTGGGCACTCTATAAATGTATTTGTGCCATTCGCTGCCCTTAGAAGTGCAGTGGCAGTGGTCTGCTGTTTTTGTGACAAGGCATTCAGTAGCTTGGTAGCCACACTTTGTCCCTAATGTCCATGGCTTGCCTATCTTTGGATCCTGGCTGCAACTCTTTCGATGGGTCATTTTGGTGCAGAGGTAGCTGTGCCAACCTAGTAGTTTCGAAACAATGGACTTTGATGTGTTATGCTGCCGTGCTGCGCACAAAGGCACGCGCGCAGCACAAGCTACGTCCACGGGTTCAGCCATCGCCTTCTGGCTTGCACACTGATGGGGCCATTTGGGCTTGAATCAGTTTTAACCTCCAAGAATACTGCATCCATTCTCCGCAGCCGCTACACAGTTGACTGTAATCGATCGACGTCCGATCCACAATCAAGCGATGCAATCAATTGCTGCGACGCTTCCCTGCAGTGTGATGTGCGACATTGATGGCATCTGGTGACAATCGAACGCTGCGCTGTCAATGGTGAAACGACCCGTATGTGCTTCATTCCGGTGGATTTGTTGAATTCTTGCTCGCCACAAGGGCCATCAGACGGATATGCGCAACCTGTTGACAAGTATGCAGTACAGAGCCACCTAGTGCACCAAAAAGTGCTGAACCCCAAGCAAAATGAATGATGCAGATAGATGTTGCTTGAAGGGAATACTCCTTGTAGCAAATGGACTTTGGCCCCAGTTACAGAAGTTTTGATGCAAGACCGACTGCAGCAGGGCGTCCGTGAGCACATGGCGGTTTGACAAGCAACTGACGCCCTGCGATCGCAGTTTGCAATAGCATGTAACATTCAACACTTCTGCACAGTAGCGTAACGCTTGGCCTTTCCAAGGAGAGATTTAAGGGACGACGCCATGTCGATTTGATACGCCTAGCATCAATTTGACGTCAAGCCCAGACCTCCCTCCCCTTAGCGTCAATCCTTATGCCGGTACCAGAATGACTCTGCAACCGTACATAACAGCGCTAGACGATTTAGAGCGGTTATTAAGCAACATAAGCAGCCAGGATTGCAGCGATTGTAATGTGCTGGAAACGGGATGTTAAAGGCCATTTTGGCAGCCCCGATGGCTGTCCATTGGGGTATTATGGGGTCTCCGTCCAAATTTGAACGTTTGAAGGGAGTTTTGGAACAAGTCACGAGCTGTCTGCCTTGGTCAACAGCGTTTTGTGTATCCTCCCACCTCATACCGAAATTGTGTCCCATTACACGTCTCCATCTGCCAGGTTGTCCCTAAGCATACCAATTTCGACATAGTCCCTTCCCCTAAATATTTTTTGTGGACCAACGTAGAATTTTAATAATGCTCTGAAAAGAAATATGCACATATTGGTAAAGCATGTTCATTCGGAAGGGTTGAATATGCTACGGCAAACACTGCAAAATTTCAATCTTCGCATATTGCGCTGATGCTGGATCGCTCCACGGCAGCCTTGCTTAGCAGAAGGAACTTCCTTTACAGGGAGGGAACCCGTGCACACATGGGTGTTGTCCTGTGCGCCCAGCATGACATGGCTAAATGCTTCTCCACACCGAAACGAACGATGTCTGTGACAGTTAAAGCATCTCGCAGTCACTCGCAGGACCATGTGAAGATAGTGGCGTTCGGTGTGAAGATGCAATCCGTGCTTACTAAGGCCGCTGGTGGCCAACTGCCTCAGCGCCAAGATCTAGAAGCCAAGGAAAGGGACTTTGCCGAGCAAGACAACCGAGATCTGCATTTCAACATTGTCCATTTCCCATGCTCGCAGCTGCTCAAACATCAACGCATGGGCAGTGCACGAACCATTTTGAGCGCCGCACATGCATTCAGTGGCCAATAGTGGGAGGCAACGGATGCCACCCTGCCGACTTGCATGCCTTTGTGCAGATGACGCCGCCCATGTGCATGGCCGCGTTGGCGAGTATCCACCATCAGGCAGGGCAACTGCTTTTTTCGCAACCCGGAGGCAGCCTTACACTTGAGCAATTTGTTCGTGTCGTCGACAATCCAGACAACCACCTCCCAACAGAAGACCTCTGGGATCTCCACCGGCGCTTCCCTAACTGACTTTTGCCAGTTGATTTTCATGAGCTTCGCCTGCACCCCGCCAGCAAGTCACCATTCATCAGATTCCTGATTCATCTGCCGGTCCATTACATCCCAAGAGACCAAGGGCAGAGCCCTTGTCGACAAGGACTGGCGCCGGGTTCCGGCGCAGTACCCTGCAGATGGCAGGGACATGTGTGAACAGGTGCTCCGATTGGCAGCATACTGATGGCAGCCACCCTTCAAGTTGATTCTGTTTCCTATTTCCCGTCACCAGGCGAGAATGGTGTCCATGCCAGTCTCAAGTTCCATTCATTCGTTTACAACTCTCTGTCACCTGCGTGACCGCATGTTTTCCCCCGCCATAACAACTCACCAAATCTGTGCTGACCGTTTGCTCACTTCAGCTTAACGGCTCCCCCCTCCAGCACAAACGTGTCGGGATATTGCGCAAGGAACTTGCCAAGTTTCTTCACAAACTTGGGTTTTGGCGAAACCTTGCCCCCCAAAAGTTCAAGTGACAGAGGCCCGCTCGCCTTCAGAGCACCCACGACTGTCTTCTTGAAGGCTTCTTGCTCTGCAACGCACCACACAATCGGACGGATGAGCTCATCAATGCGTCTACGAGCTTGGCCTTGTTCCAACGAGTGGCCCCTGTTTCCCTGACAGCAACATCAGTGCAGAAAATGTGCCAGGTGGTGGCCCCGATGGCTTTGCACGCCATTGCCACACACAATTGTCGACTCTTCCACAGCTCTTAGTGTCTTTCAAATGCACATTCTGAGCAGAGTCTCACAACCTACACAGCACATGGGTGGCCATTGCCTGCCCCACTTGATATCGGTAACAAACACTGCCTAGGCGCGAATCCCTGTTTATGCATCTTTAATCTGGTTGACCATAATGTATGAACCTGCACATTCTGCACCAGTGCTCAAGCGGCAAAGGCCTTTGAGGCACACGGTGGTCTATGGCAAGGTGCCCAGTCTTCGTTTCCATCAACACACTGCCAGCACTCACCAGCAGCATTCCTGCAGACAGCGACCGTCCCTTTTGAAGTGACAACAGAAATGAGGAGGTGAAAACAGAAAGCAACGCAATAGGCAGTAGAGATATTGCAGACAAAATTACAAAACCTGGCAAACTCAGGTAGCGTAATACTGCAAAACAGCAGACTTGAGTGGATGAGGTTCCGGGTGACAGACTAAATTCTCGGCAATCAAGAACATCATAATAGGCATCAAAGCTGTACTCAAGTTTATGCATGCATTTCGAAATCTGCCAGCATGGGTCAGAGATCTGACGTGCAGCGCCACACCACAGTTTACAGTCCTTGAACAAGGACGCTCACCCTTGGGGGTCCCTTGACCAGTGGTTCCGGCGAGCGTCGCCTTGGCGGGCGTTGGCCCTTGCGTTTCTTGGCCCTTCCTTCCCGGCGTGGCATTTTGCACCTTCTCGGTTTGCTTTTTTGGTGTCTTGGCTTTGCTGGCACTCGACCCACCCTGGCCCTTTGTTTCCGGCGCCTTGTTGCCCTTGCCGGACATCAGTGTGCTTCCAACCTTTTCCCTCGCGATGGGAATGACGCGCTGCTTCTTGGCCTGGGTGCCTCCCTGGATGGTGTCACTATTTCGCTTCTGCATGCACAAGTATGCCATAGGTATGCCAGGCATATATGCACAGGTATGCTATACCGCATGCTGGGGCACGAAGGATGAAAGAGTACTTGCCTGCATAAGCAGGTCAACGTTCCAAGCATTTCCTTGTGGGCAGTCAGAACCACGAACATCAACCCGGAAACCAATAGCACCAGTTGTGCATAAAAGGAATCGAAAATTTCAGGTGCAACTGATGGTGGGCCTTTCTGGGAAGCTACCTTTGGACCCTGGCGAGTAAACGCTTCCAACTCGCTGTCTTCACTGTCATCATTGTCCTCACCATCCTCACTGTCCTCACTGTCCTCACTGGCCTGATGCACATTTCAGAGGAAGATTGGTCAAACATTGGTCATGGATCAGAATATTCTCCAGAAGATTTGCACACCACCATATTGTCAATGCGATATCTTAAAATATTCTACACTTGTATTTCAGAAAATTTTACCATTATCCTTTTTGTTACGCATTTCGTTTTTCAGAGCGTTGTTTGGTATCTTTTTGCATTGCTCTGCAACAAAAGACCAAGCCTTGCATTAGCATTTATTACTTTTCTCCGCACAAAAGGGCCACGCATTATGTTACTATGCAGAAGGGCTTAATATACTACAGCAATGGATACGTGGCGACCGGAGCACCCCTCCACGTTGCTTCATCATGGGCAGCTTGGATCTGACAAATGCAGAGGGGCTGGACGTGCCTGTTGGGAATTCCTAAATAAATGCGATATAGTGCCATCTCCATGGTGTTGTTACTATCAGATTGTGCTTAGTATCTGATCCAGATTAATGCGGGATGGAATGACGTTTTCTAGTAATGGACACAGGCATGCTGGATTCCAAACTCTTTTCCTTTCTTTGCCACTGTCTGCATGTGTTGCAGATGGATGGAGAGCAAATAAAAAGAATGGACGTGGGACAGAAAAACGATTTTGGATGTGTACACTCCCGTCATCGCCTGCAAGGCACAAGGGCCCTGCCTTGTTTTTCAAAGGCAAATTTAAACAAAGGAATTCAATTGGACGAGTTTATTCCTCCATATTGCTCTGTTGATACTCTGCTGAGCCAGATTTGGTTTGCAGCAATATTGCTCTGATCATCGACAGGGCACTCAAACAGCGTCTGCAAAAAGGCAATGCTCAGTGTGCTTCACAAGTCGATTCAATTAAAAAATACAAAAAAGCATATAAATTATGTCTCAAACAAGAATACAACAGAGCAGCTATAACAATAGCGTCAATAAGTATAAACACTTGCACACAGGAACAGCACCCTGACATTGCTAGCATACTGCAAGGGAAGTGATTGACCAAAATTTTGGCAATAGCAGTACCAATGAATGCCAATCAATGCAATTAAATTGCGTTCTAAAGAAGGGTCTGCACGCCTACCTCCAGGTCATCGCTACTATGGTCCATGTCGTCCTCACTATCATCGTCTGCAAAATGGCAGCAGTGAGTCACTATCATGCACCAGCAGTGCCTGCTCATGATCATCTTTGCACAAGACATGAATTAAATGATTCTGTTTTGCTGAACAACGTCAACTGAAGGAAAAAGGCATACACGTCGTGCAGGCCAAAGACTTGAATAACAGCAATGCCCTTGAGGCTTGATTCCGTACTGCGACATGGCATACTGAAGAACGACAGGCCCATTTTCCTATTGCCGCTGTGAATTGGCGATCGCAATGTATACTAGTAACCCTGGTGTACTGTGGTTATGAAATGAAAGCCACAATGCGCATGCTCACTGGGCAAATGCCTAGCTAGTTATGCATCATCATTGACTTGGAGCCATACCCTCAAGTAAATACATCTGTGTCTGTCAGTTGTGCCATTATTTGTGTCTTTTCTGACTTTTGTTGTTCCAGAGTATCACATCGCATTCAGCAGGCCAGGCAGTTTGCAACTTGTGTCTCTTCCTGGCTCCCATTTTGTCCAGCGGACAAGCACCCACTTTCAATCAGCGGGGCCATGGATTTCAAGCTCTTGAGAAGCCATGTGCAGCTATCCAATAAACGCAGCTATTAAAGCTGAAACTCATGCAACATCAAAGCCACCATGAATGGTCCGTGATCGTGAGTGCAGTGCCCATGACAGAATTTCACCAAGGTGTACATACACCAATGTGCAGCATGCACAGAGTACTTTCATAAACTCAATGCAAGGAGTACTTTCGAGTCCCAGCTCTGTATTGCAGACAAATGGCCACATGGGTGCAATCTCTGGACAACATGGGTCAGAGCGACAGTTTTCAGGCGTTCAGGGGACGACCAAGTCTAACTGTTCCTTTCCCATCCCACAGGACCACAATTCCACACCTTCATCCATTTCATCAGCAAGCCTGGTAGCCTTGCCATTTGCCATGGGCATGTTCTTGACACCTTTCTTGGGCCAAGCCTGCACAACAGTCCAGCAATTCACCCAGCGTAATCCAGCACTGATTCAGTCAAAGTGGGAGAAATCACTCCCCTCCCATGTGTCGAGTTGTACTGGGTGAGGATCGCCACCACAAGCATGGGTTTCAAAAGTGCATTTGGTCTGTTCACCATGGGATAGATTGACCCAATGCAATGGGCACATTCTTAATTTCTGTATGCCGCTAAATACCCATATAGCTCATAAAAAATGGTAAATGCTGGTATACGTTAATTGACTTCCTGTTTAAATTGCTCTGTTTGGTGCATTGTTGAGTCACTGATCCAAGGGCTGACTTTATGATGCTGCATGTAGTATGTGAGGACTATCAGTTCAGTTCAAATCAACAAGCACTGTTCAGCTGAAGCACAGCTAAAGACATCAAAGCCCAGGCCAGGCACAGCACACCCACACAGTTGCAGCACAGCAGGCACCAGCAAGCACACACTGTGCGGTGACAAACTATCCATGTTGGCTTCATCAGGATGCACAAAGTTTTCTCCCGCTGGGGCATTCAGGATCAACCCCATGATGCCCATCATGAGCACAGGGGCTTCGTTGCAACATCCAGTTGATGAGCATTGCATCAATGGTGCCAGCTCCGCCCTAATGCTGTGAGCTAATCAGGTGGGGCATCTATCAATTCTACAGCTTAGGATTGTGGGTACATGGCCTGTAAAATCAGCAGATTAAGTAGCTTCTGTTATCTTTCCAAAGAGACATTGTGGCAATAACTGATATGCCCTGGCATTGTGGAAAGGTGCCCCTTGCCTCAATGCCATATGCCTTGCAAAAATTTCCATGCCTCCAGATTACCGCAGAGAATCATCAACACAATACCTCAAGCAGAGACAAGAACAGCTGTACACAGTGACTGTAGTTAAGTGGGCATGGTGTTGTCAGGCAGCACAAGGCCAACATTCCCTCTGTTGGGACGGGGGCAGAACGCAAACTCATGAAAGAGATGTAATGTTTCAGCATGAAGAAATCATCCGCTCACGTGGAATCGAGAAAACGGTCAACACCCATTTGGAATCAAGAATAAAGGCACCAGCTTATTCAGAGGCAAGAAAAGGGCACAGCCCATTTGGACTCAATAAAATCGTCGCCAGCAGATTTGGAATCAAGACAGAAGCCCACAGCTGCTTCGGAACCAAGAAAGGGCGCTGCTCCTTGAGAATCAAGAAAAGGGGCAACAGCCCGTTCAGAATCAA